TTTATATGAATTTTTTCTTTTTCAGTATACTTTTGGTCACTGATAGTCACCTAATAGTACTTCGAGAAATACAAGAAAGGAAAGGTGCAGCACATGTAATTGTAAAACGTCCGTTAACGAGTATTGTTAAAATAACATCTAGAAAAAGACATTCAGATTTGATTACATTTAAATACGGTACAACGCAATATAATGATACGGTAATTTCAGATATGGATAAATTTCTTATTCCTAACGCGAGTGAGGCTACTAAATTAATCACGCAACAGATTTTAAAACAATTGAAAACATCAAATTGATGTTAAATATGCGATGATACGCATGTAATGAAATTTTATTCGTTTTGAACACAAGTTTTATTCGAATATCTGAATTGAAATTTTTTTATTTGTTCGATTGGTTAGAGTTTCTTTTTTTAACCAAATGGTACTACAAATATAATATGTAATTAGTATAACTAAAGAAAATAGTCTGTGAAAGATTTTAAGAATAACCTGAGTGTTTCATACATGGAACTAATATGATATATCATCAACAAGATGGTTAACACAATTTATACTTGGATTCTAAGAGTTTGGTGGTTTTTACTAAGTCATTACTTTTATCAATTACATATATTTATTGTTTATCTTCACGCATTTTCTTAATATTTTCAGAAATATTTCACTTTCATAGAACAGCATTTTTCCTATTAGTGTTTTTGTAATAATAATTATATTAATATTGATATCTGATTTAGTATTTACTTTGCATATGGCTAAACAGTGGCCTTATTATAAAAATGAATAAGAGAGATAATGGACTCTGCAAATCATTGATGTGATTATCTATAACGGAGTGTAACGTGCCATGAATTAAGATGTCATTTAAATTCCTTTACATAAATATAATTCGTGACATGATACTGATATTTATGAAGGCGTTAAATAATTTATTTCTTTCTTTGACAGGACACTAAAAACTTTGAATCACAAGTTAATATAGCATTTCATGCATATATTACTATATAGTATTTGTATGTTATAATGAACTGATAATTGGTCCTAATGTAATACAATTTCAGGAACATTAACAAAATGGTTATAATATTTGCATTTTATAGTATATAGTCCTGCACTAAATGTCTTTACAAAATATTTACAGAAGATACAAAATATATTGAAAATTAACAGTTATATCATTTTTACAGGCATACTTATTACACTGCCTGATTATATTTCGAAGAATTTTTGAAGTTTACGATCTTTCGAAAATATATCTGTAATTCATACAAAAATCTTTCATAGAAAGGTTTTTCTGTCTTTCTGGAACTTGTATTTATAATATTACTACTAAAAATACAATTTGTTTTCAATTTATTATTAAAATTATACTGGTAATAATATATAAAGAAGATTATCCTCATATAAGTTTTTGTGCATACTGTTGTGCTGCCTTTTTGTAATTGGGGACAATACTGTTCGTAATATATATTAATGTTTATATAAATTCTGAACACATGTCTCAGTATGATTCTAATTTCATCATTATAGAGCAAAAAAATTATTTGTGATATATATTAGCGTTTATTCTTCGTTCAAAAATTATAAAAACTTAATTTAATATATACTTAATATATCTATCAGATCTTGTAGATACTGTATCAACATTATTAATATTTATATCAATAATATCTGTAACATATTTCATGGTACATAATAATGAATTCTATGTATGATAGAAACTTTTTGTATTTATGTGCTTCCACGACGAATGAAAAATGTTAATAACGAAGTAGTTATTACATAAAGGATCATAGAACTTTAATAAAACTAAAAATAAAATAAAATTTTAAATTTAATTTTCATTCTATGTAAATAAATTTTGTGTAATGCATCAAGAATGAGTTAAAATGTGTATTTTCAAAAGATTGTAAAAATAAAATGTATAGTCATTATACAAATATTATACAACAAATAATGTTTCTATTATATGCCAAATATTCTCAATTTGCTTCGTTATCATTATTAAACTTTTTTTTAATTTATGAAAAAATTTAATAAGTAATATATAATATAATTTATAATAATATATAATATATAATATAATTTATAATAATATAATATATAATAAAATTTAATAAATAATATATAATATAATAAATAATATAATAATATATAATATATAATAATAATAAGAAATATATGACATATAATAATATATAATAATAACAAAAAATAAATATAAAATGTAAAATCTCTCTCAAAATGTAAAAACAATGTTCATTTTAATTTTAATTTTTTATATAATAAGATATATCAATTTTATCACAAAAATACGAAATTAATTGAGAAATTAAATTTTTATAACTTTATCATTGTTTTACACGATAATTTTTTTTACATATTAATATTCAATTAACAAATAAGGCAAAAATTTAAAAAAAATTAAATGATACTAAAGTATATTTCAGGAAAGAAAATAATCAGAGACGATACATTATTATCTTTTAACTTTTAGGTGTATACATTTGATATGACAAAATCGTATTGTATACGATTTATATTATTAGTTGATATCAGACACGCCGACAGAGAAGCAATTAACAGTATACATATACTTCACGAATGTTTTTAACGTAATAATATTTTATAATAAACTTTATGATGGGAACCATCAATTGGGGAGAATTATTCCCAGGAAGATGGAGTCTTGTCATTTTTATTTCATATATGGCCCTGTTTGTGAACCAAGGTACATGAGTGTGGTTATGTTCTCTGTTTATTTTTATCCTTTTCATATGATTTTCCTTGTTACTGAATGTTTGTCAAACAGAAACAATACATAGTGATAAATGACTGATGATAATAATGCAAAAAAATTTGTATATGTATTATTATTTATTAATGAGATGTGTATTATTTTGTCAATTTCAAATATGATTTAAATATCCTATGGAATATAACAATGATTGTTGTACTTTTATAAGAATTTTTATACCTCATTTTGTCAAATTTTCGTCATTGTTTTCTTGAAAATTTCTTTATTATTTTTTGAAGTTATATAAATTATTTTTATATTGTTTTAACTAATTGCAAAATTATCATCTTAGGTATTATTGTAACTTGGTCTCAAAGAGATGGTCACTATGAATATAATATTGTTATGGTAGTATTGATGACAGAAGTATTAAAGTTATTTACATCTGTAATATTGTATTGCAAGGAGTAAGTAAATAAATTAAATTCTGTTCTTTAAAATTTTTATATACTTACAATTGTTGTTATTTCACTTTTAGCAATAATTTTTCAAGTTTGTATCAAGAAGTAACAGGAAATAAGAAAGGTATATTGTTTCTGGAAATTTAATATATATATTGAAATAATTAAGTTAATTATAAATATAAATTTATTTTTACTTATTAACATGTAATAAATATTTGACCTGATTTGAGTTGTTATTCATTAATCAAAATTATCATGTTGAAGCATTATCTGAACAGAATATAAGATAAAATATAAATTACTGATTTAAGTTTTATGATTGTTAATTTAATTTCGTATTAAAATGTAATAATGAACAATTTAGTTGTTTTATGAAGTAGAATTTAAATACTTTTAAATTATTAATTAAATTAATGAAATTAATATAATAATAAAATGGACTAAATTTCAATTTTTTTATTCTAGTGCTACTGCTGTATATGATACCATCATTTTTGTATTGTTTGTATAATAACCTGGCATTTATCAACTTGGCTGTATTTGATCCAACAACCTACTATGTGTTGTTACAATTTCGTGTTGTCATGACTGGAATTATTTTTCAAGTACATATCAGAAACTTTTGTTATAACTCATATTAAAATGGAGGAAAGTTTTTTGTAAAACATAATTTTTTTTAGGTTGTTTTTAATAAAAAATTGTCATTGAAACAATGGTTTTCACTTGTATTACTGACAATTGGATGTATGATAAAACATATAGACTTGGACTTTAGTATCAATGTGTTTAATGCCAAAATTAATTTGAATAGTAATATAATTTTAGTGTTTGTGCAGGTATGTATAGTACTATTAAAAAATTATTTTAACTAAATTATAGAGAATTATAATATAGTTATAATCCCTAAATTTTTTTCAGACAATTTGCTCCTGCTTAGCTGGTGTTTACAATGAATATTTACTTAAAGAACAAGGAGCAAATATTAATATTTTTGTACAAAATGTATTTATGTATATTGATAGTATTTTTTGTAATCTTATAGTTTTTATACTATTTTTTATGTCGGATAATAATGCTTCTAACATGTTAAACAATGTCGATCTTGCAATATTTATGCAACCAAAAATTATACTAATAATGCTGAACAATACGGCGATCGGAATTATTACAAGTTTTTTCTTAAAAAACTTGAATTCGATTTTAAAAACTTTCGCTAGTGCATTAGAACTGATATTCACAGCAGTCCTATGTTGGTTAATATTCAGTATTTCAATTCATTTAAATACTGTACTTTCGATCACTATGGTGAGTTATGCAGTTATATTGTACTCGCAAAATCCAGTACAAAATACTCGAACCAAAGAACGAGCAAAGGCTGATACTATAGTTTAATAGAAGTCAATTAAAAACTTTCATCAACTACATTCTATTTCTACATGAATTTTACCTGATGTAAATCTGTTACTTGTATGTTTGTTACGTTATGCTTTATTGTATAGTTTTATATATGTATAAATTCAGAAAACCTTTATATAATAGACATTAAAGTATTGCAATTTTGTTATAGAATTCTGAATTATATATATTTCCTTGTTTTGTTTTTAAATATTTATATCTTATATATTTATATATTTATAGATTGCTATTTTCAAATTTATAAAATATTGCAATATTTAATATTGTGTATGTAATTGTGTGATTTAAATGAGAAGTCAAATTTTAATTGCAGAACTTAAAATAAATATATAATATTATAAATGCATATATGTAATATTATTAGCCTATACACAGAAAAGAAATTGATTAAATTATTCTTGAAATTTTCGATTGTTTAAAAAAAACAAATCAATAATTTCTTTTTGAATTAATTTTTTTTTTTACATTACATATTAACAAACAACAATAATAAAATAATTTATTTAAAGTCGTTTACAATTGAAAAGCATTTGAGTAATAAAATTTATTAAATAATATCTTATAATAATAATATAATAATATAATAATAATAATATAATTTTAAATTTAAGAAATTCTTCGATTTATCGAAATTCTGTTTGGCGGGAAATTTATATTCATCGAACATAATGTTTTTATATGTATTATTAAATTTGCTGTGGTTTTCAAATTATAGATTGTGATTGAGATGATTGAAAAAAACACAATAGGATTAATATCGACTAATGTGAATTACTTTTCTCGAAATTAACCATTCTAGCAATTCTACTCATGGTTATGATATACATATCTAGACCATTTTTCGAGAAGTGGGGAGAGGGTGGTCGATATTACCTGCAAACCACCTTACATTCGGAATAGAGCAGCGGTAGTCACATGTCGACTGCCGTCACGTGAACCCTGTATTGGATTGTTTCAGTTATCGTGTCATTTATTATGAAATGTGCATTCAAAACAAAACGAGAAATATATGATATGCCAAATTATATTGTTATAGTTTAAAAAAGCGTGAAATGTTACTGCAATTTAAAAGATGCTTGTCTTACTTGTATACGAAGAGAGAAGTAAAAGGTAAATTAATTCAAATATATACTTTTTATAATATCGTCACTTGTGACATAATAATGATAAGTATTATTTATATGTATGAAATATAGATTTTGCATAAAAAAGTACTTAGTATAATTTAAAGAATTGTATAATTGCATCTGATTACGACAGTTTATATAGATACGTAGATATTAAATTGAGAAAGTTTTTTGATATTATTTATAAATTGATATTAAGATAAATGTTAAATGTATTTTGGAAAAGTTATGAATGATATTTTAGAATTATTTGTTAAATAAAATGTTAAGTAAATTAAGATTATATTTTTATAATGCTGTTTATATCTATATAAGTCACAGTTTCGCTCCCTTGCGTACTTACGTATTATGATCTTGGTCACGTGATAATTTAATGACACGTGATTGGTCGAAAAATCGCGCCAATTTAATAATTAAGGATTTTATCTTCTTTCAACGAGAACAACACAAATTATTTTATATTGATTAATTGACAAGAAGTATATACAAAATTGATCTAGTATTAAAAATCAGCATTCAAAAATATCAATGATATTAAACGAAGGTATATTAAATGAAGTATAATAAGTTAATTCACGCATTTTTTTCTTTTGATATATAAGATCTATTTAATCAACAAATATGTAGGTTAAGTAATAGTTTGTAAATAGATTAAGTAATTCATTCAAACGTATGATTCCAAAATCTTTCACCCTTTTGTATTTCTACATTCTTTAAAATTGATATTTCAATATCAACAGTACTAATCTAAAATTTAAATACGAATGAAACTATAATAATTTTTGCATCAAATGTAAGTACAAATTGTAAAGGCATTCCTATGGTATTTTTTTTTTTATTTCAGAGTATACTTAGTATAATAATCTATATTTAGTATATTAGTATATTATAGTTTAATATACTAAATATAATAATATAAATATAATATACTAAATATAATAACCATAATAATATTATATAATAATATATATCATTATATAATAAATATAATATACTAAATATAATAATCTATATATAATATATATAATCTAAATATAATAATGTATATTAGTATATTATAATAATCAATATTTAGTCTTAGTATATTATACACTTAGTATAATAACCTAACATGTATACTCAATATGATTTACCTGATGAATGAAATCATTATTGAAAAATTGGAAAATCTTTGAAATTCTATGTGACGAACGAACTTGTCTTGCGCTTTGAATAAATTTTCCAATGACGAGTTAATTCATCGGTTATTGGTTAAGAGATAATGCTTTTGTTTAATGTAAAAATTTCCATATAAATCAATTCAACAAGATGCGCATAAGAGAAAGAAGTGTAATAAATTTTTAAGAGAAAAAAAATCTCACGGTTAACGCGAAGTATGCTGGAAAAGAGTACTTACGTACTTTTTATTGCAGCGAGTGGAGAGCCCTTTGCTTCTTTCACGACTCCCCGAGACTCACGCATATTTTCCTTTGGATTATGCAATCGCTTTCGTGTGTACTACTTTTATGCGGCGTTCGTGTCGAGATCCAATGATAAACTTTCTTCATTCTTCTTTAAAAAAAAATATTTACTAACGTGCCTCGTTCGTATAACGTAACGAAATGAAAATGATATGGTTAATTTTTAGTAACTTCCAATTAGGAACATCATGTCCATAGTTCATAAAAATCATGGAGTTATTTGAAATACAAGGGATGAAATTATTCATGGATATTTACGAGCTCGTGTATCTTACAATCTTTATATCTCGTTCTTTTTCTTTCTTCTTAATAGTGAATATATTATATAATTATGAATTTTTTATTTTATAGTCGATTTTTACTCCTTGATTAATATAATTGATAATTGATTTGAAAGATTTGATTATGTGACATCCCAGATTAATTAGATTTTATTATATGTATTATATATTATAATATGTTACATGTATTTCTGAAAGTCTTGGAAAGGAAGGTTTAATAAATTTCATAGTGAATTGTTGATCTTCTTATTAGAGAGGAAACAAGTGTGTTTTAATGCACATTAAAGAAGCTTTCAATTAATAATGAAATAGATCTCGTGACTACAGTGATTGAAACTGAAAATGGAATGTGTTAGAGATTAGTCAGTTGAAGCTTTAATAATGTCAATCATTTTATGCATTCGTATAGAAGTACATACAGCTGCCGGAAGTGGAGATATCGTTTGGTAGCTGTATTATTTATTCCAAGTTACCCTTAGTATTAATTCATATTAAGCGGATATTCGTAGTAGATGAATCTAGAAAAATAATTGAAAATGATAGATGAACAAATATCTAAAGTACAATTTAGTTTTTCAAAATTCTCATAAATTTGAAAGTAAAAAAAATGCAAGTAGTTATTAAACGCGAACAATTTCTGCTTATACAGAATATAATCGAATAACATGTACAAACAGCACAGATATTTTCTTATGAAGAAATAAGAAAAAATTGTAGAATAAAATTTCTTTCGCTCGAAATTTAACTTTCGAGAAGAATGAGTTTAAAAAAGAAAAACTAAGTTTTGAAAATCCATTAGATTCATATTAATGCATATACAAGTCACAACTATGATATGGTATCAAAGAATAGTCAAGAAAGACAAATTTAAATAAACGGTAATGGATAAATTACGGTCAAATTACTTTATTCTTTATTCGTTTAAATCGTCGTTTTATAATTAAGTAAAAATTCACAGTTCATATAAATAATACAAACAGAAATTGAGTATTGTTCATAAATAGGATAGGCGAACTATTCACAGCAAATCATATCTCACAGTCATAATAATCACATACGCGTGTAATGAATTTTGAAACTCGATTTTCTCGTAAACTAACAATAAATCTTAAATTTTATTTTATACTCTTTTTTCTTATTTTTTCGTGAAGAATTTTCATCACCTCATATTTACTTCTATATATTATTCTGTCTACGTTAGTATACACAATTTCGAACTTATGTACTATTAAATAATTCAGAGTTCTTGCAGACCATAAGTACACACTAAAAAGATTTCTGTTGGTTATTATCAATGATGCATATACCTCGGGAAAGGAAACTATAGTTTTTAGCAGTAAACTTGCTAGTTTTGTAACTGACATGTAGAATTTCACTGCTTTTATTGTCATAAGACAAATTATATATCTCTCATTTATAACACGAATATAATTTTAATAATAACAATTTTCCTTTTTTATAAATTTCCAGTCAAATAAATTCCATTTTTATAATTATTTAATATTATTAATTTATAATGTAATTATGTTGAATGTTAAAATTTTCTTTATCTATCATTTTCTTATTTAATATAATTGCAGTTTTATAATTATTCTAATATAATATCATTTAATCACGAATTAATAAATTGTTATATGTATAGAAATAGGATTATAAAAATGAAATTATGTTAAACAAAAATGATAAGCAAAGAAAGTTATATAATATTCAATGAAATTACATTAAAACCCCGAATTTTATATTTTATATTTGGAATATATATTTTAATATATTTTACATTAGAAAACGTTAATTACGTTATCATTGACAAACTAATAATATTACTACGTACATATATAAGTATATTACTCCATTTACTATTTCTACTTTTTTTTTTTTTTTTTTTACGTGGAAGAAATCTTCGTAAGACACCTGAGTCTTTTAAGGGAACATCCAGGTAGTGTCGGATTCTTACCGACTAAAACCTCCACGATGGCCGTCCTCCGGGACCTTTTTTTATACACACAGAACTCTCCCGTGTTGTTGTCCTAAAGGACAATGTCTTTTTTTTTTTTCGCCCGAATAAGGGCCTCGAAACCCTGGATCCTCAGATTAAGAGTCTGATGCTCTACCGACTGAGCTATCCCCACCTTCCTTACTATTTCTACTTAATTTAAGAATATAATTTGAAAATCCTTTAAGAATTAGCTCGATGAATGTTAGGTGTCGTAATATTTCACCTATAAAAGCACTGGTTATATCGAACTAGTTATATCTACACCAGTGTTAGAGCGTTGCTTGGCTCGCAGTAAATATGTAACGAATCTGTCAATCAGGCTTGTCGCTCGCGTGACTCGATGAACGATCCGGAATCAAAAAAACGATTCTCGTGGAAAACGATGAAGGACCCATGGTTCCCATTAGACGAGACGTAACGGTGGTATGTCCAAGTGCCTGGATTTTACACTATCTATGACTGGATCGACGAATTCGGGGCCTCTGCAGCCCCAGAAGGATTCCTTACCACTTCCGGCACGATCCTCTCCTTTCGATTTTCATTCGACATCTGAGAGTTCAGCTCACCGCCGAGGTCACCATCAGCGACTCTCTCGAAAGATGACATTGACCTCACCGAACGGTCAACCAATACAACTTACTCCTCTCTGGGAACACGTGGTTAGTATAATTGTACTGTCTGATTTAATGGCCTCTATATCTTGTGGGTCATTGATGAACGACAAGGACTAAAGAAGGTGATAATAGAATTAAAACGAGTGGATAAAGATATTTTTTACAGTGAGAAAAGACTCATATCTATGGACTTAAAAAAAATAGAAAAAGAATTAATAGTTGACATCATTTTTCCATATATTTTTCACATAGAAATGCGTTGTTTTCATACGTATAAGAGAGCCTGGGACATATTTTACATATTTTACATATTTGCAATAATTGAACTACTAATAAATTGATTATCAGATTTGTAAGTTATAGAATTCTTTCTTATAATTAGAGACATCTAGATTATCTTAGAGGAAATTAAAAACGACAAGAATCAGGCAATTAATATGTTTCATATATTTTTATATTTTCGTATAGGTACGTACTAGAAAATTTCCAAGCGAGGTGGATGCTCATTCAACATTCCTGGAGATATCCGAGAGACTGCGTGATCCAGAATGGGAGGTGCGTCAACATGCTCTTCGTGTGCTTATAGACGTGTTACCAACTTTGAATGCTGACATCGTGGACAAGGTCATGCAACCAGTGGTACCAGAGCTGGTCAATAATTTGGGCCACTCTGCGCCCGCCGTTCGCAAGGGTGTCTTGGATGCTTTCCGAGTTTTTCTCATTCATAGTCATGACAGAGACAACATTATTAAAAACGTACGAGCCTGTTTCCTCTTTACTTTGCAATTTTAATACTTATTTCTATTCATCTTGAAATTTTGCAATGCTCTTTTACATTGTTTTAATGTCAAATAATTCATGTGAAATGATATGCTGCATCCACATTGGTATTTGTAAATAATTCGCAAACAAATTATAAGTCGTCTTTATTGACTTGTGGATCTTTTAAAGAACCATAAGTAATGAACAACAAACAGCTATGTAGTTATTCTTCATAGAGCTGTTTATATTCTACTCACTTCTTTTTGCTCATGAATTCATAGTATAAATAATAAATATAAAATATAATTATAAATATAATTAAACAATAAATTAATTCTACTTGTGTGTCTTTGAATGAGTTCCAACATGGACACGATTCTACTTTGATTAGTATAAGTGTAGTCCACAAATTATTTGTCCATAATTCTAATTAATGTGAACTCAGAATTACAATGAACTCTCTGTATATCACTAATAAATCCAATCCTATGTTCTCTTCCTTCCTTTTAGCAATCACCTTCTTCAACTTTAGCTTTCAAAATTTGCGACAGACAAGCTAGTCAAGTACATGATGCGCAAGCAATCTCCCCACTATCTTTGTATTATCATGGATCGATGTCTAAACGCAGTTGCATCGACCATTCTCTTACAGATTCTTCAGGATGGCCTGAACCGTTCGGAGGTATGCGACTCCTTCCAAACGAACGTGACAACTGGTGTGATCTTGAGCGTGCCTTCATTGTTGTTCCCATCGTTCAACAGTCCATTGCCTGATCCTCAACTGATCAAGGATGCAACGATAGTTCTGGCTTCACGTTTGGCTCAGGTACCACATCAAGAAGCTGTATTGAAATCGTTGATGAAGATCCGAGACGCAGTTGGCGTAGCAGAGTTCGAGAGTTATTTGGAAGACTACGATAACAAGCTGAAAAGAAATATCGAGATTCTGTCTAAAATCTACAATATAAAATCCGCCAAGAAGAGTCCGAAAAGGAGTGCAGATGTTAAAAACGTGGAGAAAGTGCAGAACAAGGACTTGGAAGGTAAATGGGAGAGTGATAGCGATACTTCAGGCATAGCAGAAGAGGAGGACGAAGTTAATAATACTACCATGCCAGCTGCCAGAGTTGTATTAGAAACGGAGATCAAGTTCAACGAAGAAACAGCTATCACTATGACTATTCTGGAGGAGAAAGATGACAGTGAGCAAGAGCATAATGGAGAAGAAAATGGAACTGATGTGAAGAACGAGGCTGAAGGAAAGGAAGATGCTGATAAAAGAAAGACACCTAGAAGAGTTCATTTTGGAGGTGAAATAGTTAAGCTAAGAACACCAGATAGTGATGACACAGAGTCTGTGGAGGCTGCTCCTAAAACTAGGATTCCACTTCCGGTCTCTCCTGCTACCAAAATGCCTACTCGACCTAGACCTTCTTCTCAGCCCTGTAGTCCTCGTAGAGAATTTGGGAAGCCTAGAAGAACATCAAGATCTGTTTCTAATAGCCCTAAAAGGGAAATATACACGCATAACGCGGAACTGAGTCCAAAGAAAAGTATTCTTACTAGGACTAACAGCTCATTGCTTAGCGGTAAAGATCTTGAGCAATTGAAAAAGAAGAAAAGTGTGAGTAGACAGGAGGATAAAGATGGTAAACATAATATGGAGAGTGGAAATATTAAGAACGTGATCGAAATAAGCGGAAAACCAGAGAAAATTAAGAAAGAAGAAGTTAAATTGGTTCAGAATAGTCAAAGTATCGATTCCGAAAATTCTGAAAATAAAAGTCCATTCAAAAATGGAAAACAGCAGGACGTTTCTTTAACAATTTCTAAAGAACCTGTAATTTCTAAAAGTATTTCGACAATAGAATCGGACAATTTTGGTACTCAAAATAAGAAAACTGGAGTAGATGTTGATAGAAAAAGTAATTCGGAAGATAAAATATCAGAAAATGTTCAAACGAAGGACACAGAAGAGAAGAGTGAAGCTTCAGAAAATAGGCACGAAGCTGATTCTTTCTTTGGTTCCTTAGTGGAAATTAATGAAATGGAACAAAATCATGTGAAAATAAATCAAGATGGAATTAAAGTGAACGAGAATGAAACTGTGCAGAAAGATTCTGCGAAGTTAAGGGGGAATATAACGAGTAATTTGCAGAACAATAATAGTGATTGTGAGTTGTTAAAAAATGTCGGTGAACGAACATCGAGGAGTGATCGCGATAAAGGAGGCACAAGTGTGACTGAGAAAAGTGGTAATACTATTTATGGGGCTGACGAGATAGAATCTATAGCAGGAGAGCCGAGCTGGGAGGAACTTGGACTGGTTGACCAGGAAGTGTTAGAAGATCTGCATAACAAAGTAAGTTTTTCAATAAAGAATTTTATTACTTTAAATTATTTATTAACTTAATTTTATAATATAACGAAAAAAATTATCATTTTGTCAATAGGTATATAATTTATACATTATTATATTATAGGTATACATTCTAAATTTGACTAATCGTCTTAAAGATTGAATTATACATCATAATTAGAGAATTAAATTTAGTAGGAATTCAAAACGATAATTACACTTTTATTGCCAAGTACTTGCTAGCATATTCAAATCTAATAATTTTAATTATTTTCATCACGAATTCTCATGCGCAGATACTTGACTATAATCAAACTAATCATTTTCATCACGAATCAAGTGTCTATATACTAGACATACATACACAGAATTTTTAATTCTTTCGGTTGACCTTGACATTCTTTGGCAGTTAATTTTCTATCTTCTTTTCCCATTTATGCAATGCATACAAACATGTGCAAATTTCTAGTTTCTTATTGTTAGTGAAAGAATAAACTGAATACATCCATTTTCTTTTTTAGTAGGATTTATCTTTAAAAATTATTGTGAACGAAATTAAACTATATAAAATTGAATTACATATATTATATGTATCTTGATTATCTGAAGAAAGATATGAATTCATTCTTGTTGATTTTTTAATTTTTCAATATTTATTTTTCTAATTATTCAATATCTAAATTCTATTAAAGAGACAGAGTTCAATAGAATATAATGAATTTTAAAACATGGTCCCCATTTTTCAATAACTAAAATTTAATGATCAAGCCAAAATTTAACTTCTCATTTAATATGGATAATATTATCCATTATATCCTTTAACGAATTCAATAATTTTAACGATTAACTATAATTATATAATTATATAACATAACCATGCAGTAAAATAATAAAATTTCTATAATCCATCGTATAAAAGAGATAATTTTTGATATTGTTATCCATTAATGATACTATAATCTTTGCTAATTATCAGTATCTTTCAAGAGCTTAGAAAAATTGATGCTTAAGAGAAAAGGTACTCGCACTCATCTGTATAAAATTGAAGTTAATCAGTGTTTCTTGTTAATCGAGCATGTTCTGAATATTTTATCGATCGATGCACAGATACACACGAAAGTCAATCGATAATTGAGGAAAGAAAAAAAAAAAAGGAGGGGTGATGAAGAAATGATACAAAGAAACGGAGATACACGCATAGGCGATTTTAATTGATGGCGTTTAAATCACGTTACACCACGCGACGAAAACTTTTGCCGTGAAAATCGATTGACCTACTTCGTTGTAATGTATCAGAACGATCTGTCCTAAAGTCGATGGTCCCTCGTTTCGACGAATTAATGAATAAGGAAAAATTCCATGAAATGGAAGCTTATCTTACACATGTATTACCTATTAATTAGAACTATATGTTTATTGGCCGGAAGCAGTGCTGAACCAAGATTATTTCAGAATTGATAAATCCTTTCAAAATTAATTAAAAATTGCAATATCAATCTTCACAATTAATAACTTGAAAATTTTTTTTGATTTCAAAATTTGTTTTAGAATTATATACGCTGCTACAATTACTTTCGAGTTTGAGAAATATGAGAAGATAGTTTCGTAAATTTCTTTATATTAATTGTAATTATTTTTAGTTTCTGCTAGAAATTTTTCTTTGAATCAGAGAGTTAGTCACGAAAAATAAGTTGGTCAGGTGTTTACTGACGTGTTTGTCAGGACTGGAGGTAAAAGAAATTTTCGAAGAACTTACGTCGTCTAACATAGCAAATATAGTAGGATAAATAAACTTTTCGACTGATATTATTTGCAAGTTTGCTTGAAAAGATCGTGAATATTTAATTGAATGTAGTTTTAAAATCATATTGTATAGTATGACCTTGAAATGTCCTTAACAAATCTGAACTTGATCAACATTAATATATAGATTTTTTTTTATTAATAACTAGATTTTTTTATTACTGCATTTAATGAAATATTTTCAATTAATAACAAACGACGAATTGAGGATAGATATCATTATTGAAAGTTATCATTGATGATATGAAAAAATTTATTCGGACATTTTAAGAAGCCCTTGCATATTGATAATAGTCATCTGGTGAATAATCGAAAAGCTCGAAATCCAACTTGAATTTTTCATACAATTTTTGTATTAGATCTTTATTCAATTGGCCAAAGTATATTTTTGATGGATTCTCGTAACCACCGCTATGACGCCATCTTGGTTCAATCGTATCTTGAAGATGTAATTTACGTATCGTATAAATCTGATCCTGCCATAGTGTTTCTACCTATAAAATAAATTCATACATTTTCATTCACAACTGTATACCGCATGTAACTAATCTTGCATGTAATAAACGTTAATTTTACCTTCGCAATAATATCATAATCGAGGAGGCAAGGTGTGCAGTACAAGTAGTAGGGCATCCAATGATCGTCCCCGTAATTGGCCAAATCAGTGTGAATTAAATATTGGACGAATTCACGGAAAGTTGGCTCGATCCCCTTTGGTTGAGGTACATCCTTTCGTCTGATCACCAAATACTCCTCAGGAGGTATGAAATTCGTCTCTTGAAAAACGAGAGTGAAAAGCCTCTCACTATTAACCTAATGCTCGAGCAACGAACAGGTACATTGCGGTCGATAACTTGTCGTGACTCACTACGGTACTTTTCAACAATCTTGCTGCCGTATTTCCGATAAAAGTGAAGTGTCCCGTGTTCCCTTCCAGCCACGGAGTTTTCCAGTTTATCGCGATACGCGCTCAGCAATCTCTCAAATGGATGCCTTACCACCAACAGTTTCTTCGTCGATCGTAATGCCTGCATAAGTTTTCGCGGATTTAGTCTTCCCTACAGGGGTGCTGATCACGAGTTAAGCTACAGGGATTTAAGTCGATGTACGAGAGGATAAAGTTTTCTGGAATTAATTCTATGTTGTGGTCTTCTGATTCTTTGATCTTTTCCACGCTATTTTCGATCGTTGGTAGACGTAAATTTCACTTTTTTTCAAAATTTGAGAAAACTGTGAAAAAGTACCAATTGTTATTGATACGATTTTCGAAGTAGAACTTTTTGTTCAAAATTTTCTTAAAACGTTAGAAATTTTTTCTTTGGTAAAGTGAGAGTAAGATTGTCTTTGAACCTTTTGACAAGAACTTTCAAATAAAATCTTTAAGATGAAATTGAAATGAGATTGCAATATACGTATATGTTAATGTCAATAGCGAGTTTTTTAATATCTTTTTTAAGTTTCGAAAATTTTTTAACGATAGGTAAAATCAAAATGTAACGAGGTAGTCGAATCGAAAAGTAGGTAGTAAAAAGATTTTTATCAAAAAAAAAACTTGTGTAAAATGTATATGATGTAACCACTTAATATCTTAATTTACATATTCATGATATTACCATATTCATTCTATTATGCTGAATAACTATATTTTTCGTAAAATAGTTATTTGAATTTTAGAAATCTTGTATGTATCTTTCATTAATTATGCGTATAGATTCTTCATTAATTGTTATGTTACCCGATCAGTTATAATATTGACTCATTAGTTTTAAATTGACTGTACGTCAAGCAAGCTTCTATTTATATGCAATAAAAAAATTTATCAAGTAATTATATCTCACTGGTACTTAATAAAGAAAAAAAGTACTCAAGATTTGCAAAAAATATATCTCTCTCGATAATTGGCCAGATAAAATACTTACTCGTGGCTAATTAACAAGACACTACTAGATGATGATGATAGAAGATACAAAAAAAAAGTTGTAGAGGAGAAAATTGATTAGTATAAGATCTACAGGTTTAATTTTTTCTACATGTACAATGATATATTTAGAAAATGCAGATGCAATCGTGAAACGAGTGATTTTATTATGAAAGAATAAATCAAAAAGAAAGAATAAAAAATTTTTTGACTTTCGTTTCTAAGAAAATTACATTAATTAAATTGAATTAAAAAATTTATCAAATGCACGAAGGAAATTTTTAACGAAATATATTCAAAATAAAACTTGCTAATGTAAATTTTAAGATTAAAAAGATATACATATAAATGAAATGTTCTGCGTTAATACAACGTTGATCTTTAATAGATTACATTTGATTTTCTAGTAAACGAAGACTTCAACAAAAAAATGCTATTCTTTTTTTTTTTGCATATAGGATCATTCTTTTTCCAAAATATTCCAAAAATTTTAACATTATCTTGTACAATTAGAAATTTAATGAAGTTCACACGTATCAAGTATGTTATTATTAAAATTGCGTTAATAAAACTGGATGACAAATGATTGGTATACCTCGCCCGCTTCTGGAAATTCCAGTTCTGGTATTGCTCTTCTGGCGATGGTTGATATCTGCTCTCTGCCACTGTTTAACTCTTCCTCCCGCACATTCATTAAGAGACATAAATTGTAAATCCACGTTGTACTGCCGGCTTTGTAAATTGGACAGTATGATAGATCGCGTGATCTGCGTGGCAAATAATGTAGATAACACCGCTAATTGAATCAGTTATTGTTAGAATAATCACAACGATCGATTCCATTTAAATCCTATTCTCCTCTATGCATAAAACATTTTTCTCCTCATTATTCACGTAAATTCATC